TTAAAAGAAAATTTATTCTTCTGATCATTTAAAAATATTGATTGCTTATTCATTATACGTATATTTGATTTCTCAAATTACACATGCTATTTGTCATATATTACAAACGTGGGATCATTTCAGAATGCAAAATAAACAAATAAAATTCAAGTTACTTTAGATTCTTAAAAAATGATAGCAATTCATCAAATATTTTATCAGTATTCTTTGTGCAAAGTTTGTTTTATAAGTCGTTTCATTTGAACATCGGTCACTGGTTGTCTCCATGACGATCTTGGTAGATTATTTAAACTGAACGCTTTCGGCTTTCGTCAGTCAAAACTATTTATGTGTGTCATACTGCATTCAATATATCCATCTGATACTTTATGTTTCTTTCATGAAAGCGTTTACGCGAATAGTTCTTATTATTCTTCGAGAAATACACTTCGTTATTTTTTCATAGTTCATTTTTTATCATCGCATGCTGTGAACATTTGGAATGCTTCATATACCATGTACCTGTAATGACTAAATCAGATATTGTTTTGATATGATATAGGGAACACATTATTCAAATTGTGTGCCTCGTAAAATAAACCAATGCCCTTAGTCAACAGGATGTGGGCAATGTTATTTTAGGTTAAAGTAGAATAAAAGTATTTTCCATTTTAATGTTTTATAACAAATATCTAAAAAGTTTATTTTTACAAATCGCCCAAAATAGATTATTTTGTGAAGTTCTTTTTTAAAAATTTGATTTTAGAAGGAAGAAACAGTCCAATCTGGAAGTTATTTATCGAAACGTGCCTCCGAGTGTTCCCGATACAGAAAACATATATCAAAATATACCTAGTTGCAGTAAGTTATTGTTTAAACAAATACGCTTTATGCTTATATATTAGTCATATTAACAGCATTTTCATTTAATTCATAATTTATTTTGAAAATAATGTAACAACAATAGATAATTTCTTATCAGGTAATAAATATCTTCAATCAATTATAACGTAAATACGCAAGTAAAATTTGGTGTAACATGCTTCTCTTAATTTTACCTTGCTTTGGATCTCAATAATATTGTTATACAAATATTTAAAAAACAAAAACATATCTGTATATTGTTTAAACTGGATTGTTAAAAGACTGTGATTTATTTGTAATCACTGCAGGTATAAATGCAACGAATAAAGGCCAAAAAGCAATTCATTTAAGGAAAACGGTGGTTCGAGATTTCCAAGAGCCAGAGCAAAAAGCACATATTGAAGATCTACAAGAGCTTGATGAACTCATCCCAGAACAAACGGAATATTTAAACTCATTAGATATTATAGATAAATTAGAAAACATAAAAGTATCTGAACTATTTGATTACGTAAAGGATCGGACGGATGAAACATTTAATAATGACTTTCAGGTATTCAAAAACGGTTCAGTGTTACATACTTGCAGTTTTGTTTTCATATACAAGAAATTATAACCCTATAACTTTTCAAGTTATTATGAACCTATTATATTCGTGTGAACTGATTAGCATTTTCAACTATAATTTGGGTGCACCACTGTTGTTGCTAGTTTTAATACTTCATATTTTTAAACTGTTATTCTTTCTTTTCAGAGCATCCCTACCGCTTTCCAAATGCCTTGTTTATTTGCACGCAGTCCAGAAAACAAAACGTCAAATAGATATAAGGGGATTTTACCGTGTATGTATTATGTATTATATATACATTTATATATTCAGTACTTAAGTGTCTGTTAACCTTTAATAAAATATACAATCATAGTAGTATAATTTTAAAGAGATATGTTAACATAAATTCTGATGTTCCAGTAAGATTGATGAAGGTATAGTTATTACTATTTCTGAATCATCACCTCTTAAAACTCTTTACATTACTCTACAAAATTCAAATTAGAAATAAAAATGTTCATACATTCTTCAATGAATACTGTGTTATTATATGCCCTGTTTAAAAGCAGAGAGACAGATATAATACATGCATGACAATTTCTTAATTTAATAAATAATATGCATTGTCATCTTTATTAAGAATGTAATTGGTATAGCATTTGACACGTAAAGTCCATAACTATTCCGCTTTTTATACGAGTCGTCAATATTCTCTTCAGTATCACGACTTCAGTGATGCCAGCACTATTAACCAATTACTTCATGAGCATTTAGTAAAAAAATGGCTGTTTTCATTGAAAAGTCTCCCGTTACAAGTTCAAATTGCTATAATACTATAAAAACTGCTTCAACACTAATCAAATTTGGCACAAATGTTGACTAGACCAATGCCCTTGCAACAACATGCTCAGGCTTGAATTTTCTGTTACCATGGCAACGAAGGGTCATCTCAAAATTGCCAAAAATCACTATTTTGCGATGATTTTTTCCATGAAAATTGATTTCAAAGTGCTGCAACTTCTCAATGGATTGAGATAGAGTCAAATGCTTTTCAGCGTTGGTTACACGTTACCTTATGATCAATCTGGGGTCATTTATAGCCTCTCACAAGTCCAATATTTTCTTGGCGATATGGGGGACTCCGCCCCCTTCAAACCCCCCAATTAGAAGGGGGCACATCCCCCTTCTGGCAACCCCCTGGTGTATCTTTTGGTTGGGGGACCGCGCCGAAAAAGAGGTCACTTCTTTTAACAATATTTCTCAAACAAAAACAAGTGTGGGGGCCTAAATAAGGCATTTTGTCACCATTTGAGACAACAAAAAGGGGGGGGTGTGAAAAAGGCGTTAAAAGGCGTGTATTTAACGTAATGGGTTAACAGAAAATGATGAAAATACTTGAAATTACCCTAAATCGCGTTTTTTCATGTTTAAACATGGCCTATCATATAAATTTGAAGAAAAATTGTTGTTTTGTAGATTTTTTATTTTTTTCATTAACCCATTACTTCATGAGCATTTTGTGAAAAATGGCTGTTTTCATTGAAAAGTCTCCCGTTACAAGTTCAAATTGCTATAATACTATAAAAATTGCTTCAACACTAATCAAACTTGGCACAAATGTTGACTGGACCATTGCCCTTGCAACAACATGCTCAGGCTTAAATTTTCTGTTACCATGGCAACGAGGGACATCTCAAAATTGCCAAAAATCACTATTTTGCGTTGATTTTTTTCCATGAAAATTGATTTCAAAGTGCTGCAACTTCTCAATGGATTGAGATAGAGTCAAATGCTTTTCAGCGTTGGTTACACGTTACCTTATGATCAATCTGGGGTCATTTATAGCCTCTCACAAGTCCAATATTTTCTTGGCGATGATGGGGGACTCCGCCCCCTTCAAACCCCCCAAACAGAAGGGGGCACATCCCCCTTCTGGCAACCCCCTGATGTATCTTTTGGTTGGGGGCCGCGCCAAAAAAGAGGTCACTTTTTTAACAACATTTCTCAAACAAAAACAAGTGTGGGGCCTAAATAAGGCATTTTGTCACCATTTGAGACAACAAAAAGGGGGGGGTGTGAAAAAGGCGTTAAAAGGCGTGTATTTAACGTAATGGGTTAACAGAAAATGATGAAAATACTTGAAATTACCCTAAATCGCGTTTTTTCATGTTTAAACATGGCCTATCATATAAATTTGAAGAAAAATTGTTGTTTTGTAGATTTTTTATTTTTTTCATTAACCCATTACTTCATGAGCATTTTGTGAAAAATGGCTGTTTTCATTGAAAAGTCTCCCGTTACAAGTTCAAATTGCTATAATACTATAAAAATTGCTTCAACACTAATCAAACTTGGCACAAATGTTGACTGGACCATTGCCCTTGCAACAACATGCTCAGGCTTAAATTTTTTGTTACCATGGCAACGAGGGGACATCTCAAATTTGCCAAAAATCACTATTTTGCGTTGATTTTTTTCCATGAAAATTGATTTCAAAGTGCTGCAACTTCTCAATGGATTGAGATAGAGTCAAATGCTTTTCAGCGTTGGTTACACGTTACCTTATGATCAATCTTGGGTCATTTATAGCCTCTCACAAGTCCAATATTTTCTTGGCGATGAGGGGGACTCCGCCCCCTTCAAACCTCCCAAACAGAAGGGGGCACATCCCCATTCTGGCAACCCCCTGATGTATCTTTTGGTTGGGGCCGCGCCAAAAAAGAGGTCACTTTTGTAACAACATTTCTCAAACAAAAACAAGTGTGGGGGCCTAAATAAGGCATTTTGTCACCATTTGAGACAACAAAAAGGGGGATGGGGTGAAAAGGCGTTAAAAGGCGTGTATATAACGTAATGGATTAAGTGTTGATAATTGATTACCGCTCAAGCCAGTGCTAGGGGGCGTGAGGGATATTGCACTTATTCATTATCCCTCATGTACAGACTCAATCAAACCGAGTCTGCAAATTTCATGTAATTTTGTAATTTTGTTGTGATTAATGCTTCCGAGGGATCACTTTGTTTCCAGATTTGTTCATGTTTCCAGAACAGTTGTATACATAAGGGTCAGTATTCACAGATTATATCAGCTTTGCCTCAAAGCAGTTCAAGCTTTATTTACATACAGTTCAAGCTGTGTTTAAATACAGTTGAAGATATTAAAAATGATCTTTTTAAATATCTGTTTCCGTTACAATAGAAGCAATAATTTTCAGCGGAAAAATAAGTAAAGATATATATCCGTTTTAAATCTCTTTAGTAAGCTTTTTAATAAATTAGCTTAGATGAAAAGACACCGCTTAAGGAGTGGCAACAAAAAACATGTTTGAAAATCCCAAACTCTGTTGTACTGGGTATTCTGAAATGCAACATCTCCAACGCCTGCTTGCACTGGCTACAGATATAATCAGTCCAACCTTTTTCAAAATACTAGTATCATTTCTAATAGTAACTATTAATCACACCCAATGGGAATAATACCAGCATTATCATTTAAAATCTGCCTCCGGTGTAAGCACTTGAAAAAGTGTGGCATATGTTCAACATTTTATTCAGAAGCAATGCAGTTTCAGATGTTTCAACATTAATTATTATTCTTTACAATTCTTTCAGATGATCACTCCAGGGTTCAAATTGATTGTCAACCAGATTTTTACATAAATGCATCATATATTGACGTAAGTGACAGCAATCTATTATGATATCGGTTTTGATATGAATACTTTGATGCAAGTGGTGGCTTGGCCGAAAAGTTTTCTCGCCGAACTAGTATTCCAAAGGACTGCTGTGTTTAAACCGTTCTTGCCGCCAGCAAGAAAATTCCCAATTATTGTAAAGTATTGTCTGGTTCCAGGAACAGGTTCTAGAGTGTTTCAATAAGTCTTTACCCTTCAATACAATCGAACTAAAATAAATTCTGTTTATACTAATATAAATGCTTGTAAGTTAATAGAAGTTCACTTATTAAATCAAGAAATGCAGTGCACTTTATCAAATAGTGCCTATAATTTTCTCATATATCCAAATGAACACGAATAAATTGTTTTAAATCTATTTCAGGGATACCACAGACAGAAAGCGTACATAGCCTGTTCAGGTATTTTTAATTGTGTTATGTTATATAATTATTTATTTAATCCGAAATTTGGCATCTTTGATCATATCAAAACATTTAAATTAGCGACCCTTAGTGAAACATTTAACGTCTGACGAAATACTTGATAATTATATCTTTACATATTTAAGAAGTACATTTGTACATACAAGTATCTGTTAAGACAGATTGAAAAGAGCATGGCTTTGAGAATTTACTTGGTAAACACATATCATACGGCTATGTGTATTTGATGAAGTACTGCATAAAAGTTAAAAACATAATAGAAATGCTTAAAAGTTAATGTTTCAGGGCCTACATCAGCAACACACGATAACTTTAAAACGTTCTGGAAAATGGTTTGGCATAAGAAGGTAGAGATAATCGTGATGGTTACAAATCTGACTGAACCTTCGGTATGTCTGCTTTTTATTAGATCATAATCTTATGTATGTTGTTTCCAATCATGTTAAATTTTGAATATTTTACCTAAATTTTTAAGACGTTATTGCATTGCACGTAAATGAGAATTTTGATTTTGTTTGACAGAATAAGGCATATATTTTTAATATACTTGGATATTATTTGTTTTATATAAAAGTATCCTCATATATTTACTGATTTAAGGGTATGAAATGCGAGCAGTATTGGCCTGATGTCAGTCAAGATGAGGAGTATGGTGATGTACACGTTTCGTGCCAAAATTTACAAATTTTTGCAGATTACACATTTAGGACCTTTGAAGTTATCAACAATGCAGAAAAGGTATGACAATACCGATATAGTTATCTGGCTATGTTGTTAGGTAGGTCGGAAGTTTGATTTAAGTAATATTATAGATTCCATTAAACATGAAGAGTTTTCTTTTTTAATTGCATATGGAGAGTTAACATGTAAGTTGACAGTACTTCATCTTTAAACAACTAGTATGAATCAGTGTGTAAGTTATCAAAATAAGCATATAAAGTTCTGTTCCTGCGTTTTATAACGTTTCATTTATTTATATTTAAGTTTTATTTTGAATGTTTTACACAACGCAAATTGTATTATTATGCTGAATTTTAAAGGGTGACGTTTGCAGACGTTTAGTTCATCTTCATTACACTGCATGGCCGGACAAAAAGACACCGGAGGATGTAATAAGTCTTTTGGAATTCAGACAAAAATATAGAGATGTTAAAACTACCTTACATGGTCCTATCATCGTACACTGCAGGTATGTTGTTTCTAATCTACACAACAACAAAAAATTCAACAAAAGACCATTGACATAGATTACGTAAAAAATTAAATGACCACACGCACACCATATCTTTTCAAATTGCATTATGCTGACAATATGCATGTGAAACATGAACGTTGACAACCTGGTTTTGTCGCATTATGTCGTTTCTTGTTTTCAAGATGATTAAGAGGGTTCAGTTTATCCCAGAATATACAAAAGAAATCGGTTAATATAAATTATATAAAAACATTGCAAAAAATGCATTTAATTAAAGAAAAACACTATTATCTTAACAAAAGTTGATCATGGAAGTTCAACGTCATGTCCTTATAATAGAACATTTTGTTAATTTCGTCTAATTTTTAAAGCTTGTTTTGGTACATTGGTTAAGTTAACAATATAGGAAATAAATTACAAAAGTTAGAAATGAGCTTATCATATACTAAAGGTGAAAATGACGATTATAAAAAGTAGCATTACTTGTTACATAATTGAATAGTTGAACAACAAGATAACATATTATTTACACGATCGTTAAGTAATGTTTTTAAACAATATGTTAGAGAAAGACTCCAGGTGTTGTCACGGATTTGGAGCAAAAGTCAAAGAAAATAAAATTACGCTACTCCATCCAACATTTTATTACATGTTGCTACAGTGACTGCATCAATGCTGAAACTATGGCCTAAGTACTGTGAAATAGTGTAATCGATTTGTCCTGTTTTCATAGGCAAGATATTTTCAATGATTTCAAAATTGTGTTTAATATTAATACAAATCATTATTATTCATCATTTTTATAGTGCTGGAATTGGACGTACAGGAGTATTTATAGCTGTTGACAGGCTCATAATGGAGGGAAATTGTGAAGGAACAGTAAATGTCCCTGCATGTCTCAATAAAATTAGGGAACAACGAATGAAAATGGTCCAAACAAGCGTATGTTGGATTTACTGAACAATAATAATTTATCCACTAGTTAACAGAAAACAGATATGATTTTGTTGTCATTTCGGTAACTATGATAAACATTTATATTCATGTTGTGTCTTTAGCATAATAATTATAATATAACATTTTCGTACCTGGCCTAACACAAATATCAATCTTAGAATATTTATGAAACATATTTTAACGACATATTGTGCCACATAACGCATTTATTTTTCAAAAGCTTTTGTTGTCTTGGTATAATGTCTTAAAAGTTTCTCATTGGCCAATGAGAGTACTTTGAGTACATTTTGTGATTTAGAATTTTGTATGGAAGTCAAAATACGACTTTGTTTACATTTTGCTATTTTTATATCAGTCATATACTTTCAAATTCAGTACTGCTTTATGCAAGTGATAAGCATCTAATATTCTCTAAGCTTTGCATTTAAAACTCATGTTGAAATTCTGAATCTGTTGTGGAATTACAACATTTATATTTTATAGTATTTTCATAATTGTCGCTGTAATGTTAAAAATGTGTAAAATTTCTCTGCGAATCGTTACAGGAACAGTATAAGTTCATATTCAAAGCGTTGGTTTACGCTCTTTGTCTCAACTGTAAGCCGATACCGATAGAAAACCTTGAAGAACACGTTAACGATACTGACGAAAATTCGTTAAACAGACAGTATAAGGTTAAGATTAACCATTCATTAAAGATATTACTAATCAGAGTGTTCACAGATTATTCAGTAAAATAGTTAAGATTATAAGTTTATAATGGTGTCATACATGCAATGAAATAAAAAATAGGAAAATAAGTTTTAATTACGCTCATGTATTTTTGGTTTATATGTGCATTTATGAGCCATGTATATATTGCTAGATTTTTAGGTATTAAGCGCTAACCTTTAAAAAATGTATACTATTTCTTCATTGAGGAAGGTGTGGCGGCGTGGTTGATTGCTTAACGCCTCGGACTAGTTATTTAAGGATAGCTGACCACATTAGCTCAAACCCCGTCACGGGCAAGCCGTTGTTTCAGTTAGAAAGAGCCTTTACACTTATTGCTTAGTTCTGGCTTTTTACAGGATTCAATAGTGTTTAATAAGCTTATAGCTTTCAACACAATCTGAAATTTAAGGGGAAGGGTGGCCCAGTGCTTAAGGCTTCTTCCTCTCAACCCAGAGATGATAGGTACAAACCCTACTCACGACCATGTTTCTTCATATGGCACCAGTACTTGTTGGTTCCAGGAAGCGGACTCGAAAATGATAAATATAAGTTGCAAGGACTTGTTTCCCAATCGAGCTTAAATAAATATGTTTAAACCAACGCAATTTAACCAAAATAAACTAGTATGAACTTAGCGGTAAAGTTCTTTGCAATGACATGATTTCATGTTGCGTTTGTTTATCATTTACAAATCACAGACAAAAAAAGTAGCTTGAAATAATTATGTTAAAATAAATGCCATTTCTTTGTTAAAATGAAAATTATTTTAGGAACTTGAATTGTCCCTCGAAAGAATCGACATGGATGACATGAATTCTGAGTCAGAATATGAAAACTTGACGGGCAAAGCTAGACCTGGAGCAGATATATTAGGTAATTCAGTAACTTTGTTGAAAAGAAAAACATATTTTCAACACATTTCAATCATCACAAAATCCCACTGTCATAGTGCCATATCGAAATATTATAATAGTGTTTTTATTTTAGTGTACTTAGCAATACCTTTTTACACTATGATATTTCCAAAGAAATGGAAGAAACATTTCGCGCATGCGTATTTTGCGTAGAACAAAACAGCAATAACGATATAATACATTTCATCAGTATTAGACAACTTCGTTATCAATTTGATAAACTCTCAATGATTAACCATGAAATTAGAAGAATATTGTTTTGCTAATGTCGGTCTGTCTGTCTGCCGTTCGGTTTGCCCGTCGATAGACCACATGGTTTTCGCTTACTATCTTGAAAACTATTGACACACAAAGATTCATATTTTACATACTGATTAAGCATAACCAGTAGATGACCCCTATTGATTTTGGTGTCACTATATTAAAGGTCAAGGTCCCAGGGGCCTTGAATGTTAGAATGGTTTCCGCTCATTATATTGAACGCTAGTGATCACAAAGTCTTCATATTTCAAGTATTGATTGTTTTACACTTTGATTAGTCATAATTGGGTCATTAGTTCAAAATTCAATGTCTTTATAAATACTCATATTGATTGTTTTAACTAGTTGGTCATGACTTTCTTTTTTCCATGAATGAACACTACCATGTTCCTATGTATTTCAAGTTTCTATACCAAATTACCAATTGTGTAAGTCAAAGGTTTGAAAGGGGGCATATTTGTCGTTCGGCATTTCTTGTTTTTAATTACCGATACAATGATTGGTCAAAGTAGTTAACTTTCAAATGTTTGCATTTACGCAAAAATTCATAATCTTATATATTTGAAAAAGACCCCGAATGATGCATTCGATTCTGGCAAAATAACCTTCGGATAGAAGGGTTCGAATTTAACCACCTCTTACATTTAAGTGTGCTAAAAAGCGTCGCTGGCATATATCGTCCTTTAGAATACTTGTTAAAGGTATAATGAAATATGCAAATATGTTATATAAATCTTATGATTACATTTTATTTTATTAGTTATTGACATAATAATATTGAATTTTTATAATGATGTTAGGATGATTAATTTTATAAAGTTTTGAAAATATGGTCATAAGTTTATCATGCTATATTTGCAGACAACCCAAATCGAGTGCGTCTGTATCTCAACAGAGAGTACAAAGACACGGATTTTATCAATGCTGTCTATGTAAATGTAATGCTCTATAGTATTTGCTTACAATAATATGCATGTCCCTGTTTGTAAATCAAGACTGAATTAAAAACCATGCATAACTTTCCTGTTTTATCAAATACTTTATAGCTGCAATAAAATAAGTCAATTTGTTTTCTCTTAATAAATAGATTAATCATCAATTCGTTTGTGAGCAAGTATAACCTAACTATTACGTAATAACATATCTGGGATGTGTTATTTTTTTATATCGCAATAAGCAGCTTAAAGGTAAAAGTAGCATTATAAAGAATAGTTTCTCAATTTATATTTGAGTAATTTCTCAATTATCGTTTGCATATCTTTCTGTTTTAAGTGCCCAAGTTGATCTTTGTTACAAGTTCAAACTTTATGTTTTTAGACTTTTCGTGCAAACTGTTTTTATGCATCTTTATTTTATTAAGAGCGTACGTAATTTTTCAGATCTTCACACTTCAGTTATTAATTTTGTACTAAGACATATCAAGAATCAAAGTTCCCTGGTTGCTTCAGTTTGTTGTGTTAATGAAGGGTAATATTTAACGAACAAACATTTGACATTTTACTTTTAATAATTTCCATTAGAGCTACAAATTGAAAGATCATTTCATCATGGCGCAATCACCTATTCCTGACTCGGTAACTGACTTTATAACGATGACTTATCAAGAAAACTGTTCCTGTATAGTGTCAATGGATGACATTGATGAGTCTGGAACGGTATAAATTATAATACATTACTTTTTGAAGTTTAGTTTATAACAAAATATTGGTAGGTTAAATAACAAGGTTTAATTAAATAAGTGCTTTCCCCTACCTATGATTTAAGGAGTGCAAAAGCATCTATCAAGCAATCACTTGAATGTTAAACATATTAAATTAATTTCAAGGAAACAAACTATTCTTTTTATGTCATGGAATAACTGAATTGCAACTATTTAACCTTTATATTGCAAATAACAAATATCTGCCTACTTCAGACTATTCTTTTTGAATACATTATGCGACATAAAGTCAAATATATGTTTTAGATGGTTGACAAGTATCTTCCTGCAGAAAATGATTCATTACAAAACGGTGGTTTCATAGTTTCTTGTTTTGCCTACGACACCAAACCACATTACACTGTTAGGAAAGTGACCATAAAAAATAAAGAGGTATTCATAACCATTTTGCAAATGTAACATATTCCTTACAAAAAGACAAAAGAATTACTCTCCTTTTTGTGTATTTTTGCAAAATCTAAATTGTAGATTCCAAATAAGTAAATTGTAAGATTTTACAATAAAACATAATTATGTAATGCTTTTGTAGGTTTCAATTTCAATTTATTTTTAGATACGATGGCCTTGACATCATTGTTTTAGAGTTCACAATTAATTGTTATTTCACCATACAATAGATATTCTTAATTCTTCATCTGCGATTTGATGAATGACAGCATATTTCTTTTTTAGTGTTCAAATGACGAGCGGGAATTCTATCATTTTCAATACAGGAAATGGACAGCCGGGATGAATGTTCCTGTAAGCGTTGAAGAATTTTTGGATTTTGTAAAAGATGTCGAGGAATATGCCACACTTAGTAAAGAAAATCCCCATGTAATGGTTCATTGCTTGTAAGACAGCTTCTAATGCACTCTTTATAAAACAGGGGTTTTTAATGTTAGTGATAACAAACTAAAAAGGAAATAGATACATTATTCAACCTTATTCCTTTGAAATTGTTTGCCTATATATACGACGACATCCAGTCAGATGCATTCCATGACTTCTATCGTTAGTTGTAAATGCCTCCATTCGCTTCAATAAGCGTACACCTCATGAAAACATTTTTGTTTTGCTTTGAAAGACATTCCCGCGAGGTTGGTCATTGAAGGGATGTCATGCCATTAACTTATGTTCTACATTTTCGATACAGATACATTACACATACTTAGAAATGTTCGTTATATAAAGACAAGCGCATTGTTTGTTGAATGCTATTGTATGAAGTTTATCATAAAATTATATTGACATTAATAGATTTTGTTTCAATCGATATACAAACGTGAATTGTTGTTTATTATTTAACGTTACTTCTTTTTAATTATTTTTAGACTTAATCATTGTTAAGTTAAACCACCAAATTTCTAAATTGCTTAAATTACAACAAGAGGTTATAACTTCAGAAAAACTTCAATCTGTTTATTTCGAAATGCATTTGTCTTGGAAATAAAAGGTGTCATTTTTGTCGTTTGATATTTTTACAGAAACGGCAGTGAACGAAGTGGAATATTTTGCGTCATTGCAATTATGGTGGAAAAACTTGTGTATGATCAGCAAGTCAGTGTGATGAATACTTTGAGACAGTTACGGAAAAGGAGACCATATGCAATAAATGGAATGGTAAATTAAAATGATAATAATCATATGTAACACTAATCACATATTATTGTAATCGATCAGCACCCAATTGTTTAAACGTTGGTAAAATTTTACCAAAATTTATACAATCGGTTAACCAAAGTTTAACGTAAAAAAAAAATCAACCATGGTTTTAACCCAGTGGTTAACTTAACGCAACGTTTATACAATTGGGGGAAGGTCTTTTAAGTGGACTGGACACATTTTCCAAAGTATTTCATTTATTGATAAAAACTTGGTGATATGATCGAAAAATGTCTTTAATTCGGCGTTAAAATCTAGAAAGCAAATTTATTTTATCTTACTAGATTATAAACTATTTATTAGTAATGTTTTGTTTTCTACTGTATCTTAACAGGAGCAGATGATGTTTTGTTTTCAAGCTTCACGAGCCATTGTTCAAATGCACAGAAAGAACTGCATCTGTTATGATAATCTGTTATAACATAAAATGCAAACATCACAACGTCCAACTTTCCAAGTTTCAAAGAGTATTTGTATATCTCAGTATGTATATACATGTATTCATAACACAAGAAAGAAATTCAGAGAAATTAGTATAAACATGACAATGTGTCTACAGAGGACGACCTTCTTTCAAAAAGATTAATGATTATCATGTAATAATATATGAATTTGTTTATTTAACTGCTGTGTTTATCGTTTATAATTTTTCCTGTTTTTCCCCTATTAAATTACTCACAAACAAAACACTCTGTTCATTTGTATAACCCAGAGCCAACCAGTAGCAATGCATTATCCTTTGCAACAAAATTAAAAAACTTCAAAAGGTATATTATTTACAAATATCGGCTGTTAACTTTAAAAAGATGCTTATTCGTGTTTTATTACCTTGTAAATGGTCAATGATAATGAATATTGAACATTTGTAAAACAAGACCTCAGTAACCTCAATTTTCATTTGCTCATCGTAAAGTTTGTATTATCTTTAAACACGAGTCCTACATCTTATGTTTTTCTTTCTATGTTTAATAATGGAAGTAAATGTAAAGTATTGTAAATTTGTTGTAAATATTTATACATTTTCTGTTTTTACTTGCATTGATTTGGAATAACTGCTGTAAGTAGATCTAACATAAGTTATTGTTTTTGTTGCATTTTCTTTTTCAGAATTGATTTGGCACTTTCCAATAATTCTTAATGTTTATATTTTAATGACGCTACTTTGTTGGTGTGTTGTAAATACACATTATATAAAATGAAGGATCTTTCTATGATATGTGTTTCTTGTATACTGTTCTTTTTGAATAGTAAATATATATATAACCCACTGACTCCCTGAATCCAGGTATCGTGAGTTTTAGCCCCATTAAGATTACGACCATGTGTTAACACAGGACAACAATACTACTTTGTTACAGAAGCGGAATCGAAGGTTCTTAAATAAAGTGGCAAGCTTTCATTAAAATCGAGCTGAAATGAATAATTATGTTAAAAAAGAAATTCATTTTCTTGTTTAAATATCATAAAAACTGCTGCATGTTCATAATCTCATGAAAATATCTGACGTGTCTTTTATTTTCTTTTGTGTTTGTGGAGGTTTTAATCAAGAATTTTCTGTCGTAAAAATCATGCCATTTAGCAACGATGTAGTTCATTTTTTGGTGCAATATGAGGAAACATGGAAAACCGATTAGAACTTGATCCCGAGATACCTGGGTTGAGTGGCAGAATCCACTTAGCCACAGCACATCTTATAAAAGTTGTGTTTTCATACGAAGCTTTTATATCACAGATTCCTTTTTTTTAGTTTCTTTCAAACATTTTAAAATAATGAATAACATTGAAACGGCCTTTCCTAAATGTGAACGTTAAGAATTAACTGCACTAAATGCACACTGTTTAGTTTAAGCTTTAGCACTTTACTATGGTATTCATGACAGCTCTTTGGCGATACAGTTAATGGTTGACAAGTAACAAAATCAAAAAGCATCTTTTAAAGCCATAATTATAGACAACGCCAAAAGCAAATAACAAAACTCGGTAGCATAAACCAAACAATAAGATAAAATATTGCACTTTACCATGCAGAAGTAAATTACATCAAATACATTTTACAAAAAAATGTCGGTTTATATGACGAATGTTGCACGTTCTCATTATCCCTTATGTACAGTCTCAATCAGACCGAGTCTGCAATGTTCATGCAATTTTGTTGTGATTAATGCCTCCGGGGAATTATCTCCTTTTTTCAGATTTTTATACTTCACAACAGCAGGTGTAAAGTGTTGTATGGCAGTTGAAAAAAGTTACCCCGTACTTCCCTTTTTTAAAAAATATTTTCTGGTCATTCGGGATCATTGATTTTAGCACCTTTAAGTGTTGAAAATTGAGTACCACTCAAGCCGGTGCTATGGGCGGGAGGGATGTTGCACGTTTTAATTATCCCTCATCAAACCGATTCGCAATTTCATGTCATTTTGTTGTGTTTAATGCTTTGGATGGAATTACACCCTTTTAACAGATTTTCATATTTCAAAACAGTAGGTGTCAAGTGCTGCGTTGAAACTGTAAAACGTTACTACGTACTTCACCTCATTCTTGTTACATTTTTCTGGTTTTTCGGGATCAGTAATGCCAGCACTTTAAAGTGTTGAAAATTGAGTACCGCTCAAGCCGGTGCTAGGGGGCTTAAGGGATGTTGCATGTTTTCAGTGTCCGTCATGTAAGACTCAATCAAACCGAGTCTGCAATTTTCTTGTAATTTTGTTATGATTAATGCTTTCGGGGGATCATCTCCTTTTTTTGCTTTTTATATATCAAATAGTACTTTCGTCAAAAATCAAAAACGATTCAAGGGATAAAAACATAGATGTCGTGGAAATTTCATTATTAATAGCTCCTATTTTTTTACTTATGAAATAAATTATTTAACTGTTTCTAAACATGGTAAGTCATTTTTTAACATCAGTGTCCAATAATTCAGTATATATTGAAATATTGTTATTTAGGCCAGACAACTTTACATGTAAACAACTATTTCAAAACAACCATTCCCAAATTGTCTCAAAATATCTATAGTTAAATTGAATATGTCTGCCCCAGCGTTCAGCAATTTAGAAAACTGTCTGTCTTATAAATAGATACATGTCTCTGCAAGAGAGTGCAATTTCATTTTCTTTGTAGTAGTTTCATATTACTTCTAATATTTCTTAATCTGTTTGGTAGATGCATGTTTTTGGATTATAGAAATATATGAGAAACACGAATCTCCTAATTGTTATGAAAAAATTGTATTGATTATTTATTTCAATTATTTTAGTTT